AACATATCTCTATGCAGATACGAAAGTTTCTATTTATTGTTCCGGCCTTGGCAACAGTAAATGTTGCCAGGTGACCGCATATAATTCCAATCGAAAGTTTGACATTTTTAACCGTAACTTCTTCAGAACGTTTTGCCGTTTTAGCGTGATTTGTGTTATTTACAGTAAATTGAAAAATTTATTTCGGACAGAAAATGGAATTGACTCGTAGACATTTTCGTGCGATTATTTTTCACAACTTTCGACGTGGATCATCAAGACAAGAGTTCTTCGATGAACTCAATTCTAAAGAATTAAGTATATTATTGTATATATACAGCGATAAAGCACCATCCTACAGTACTGTAAAAACTAGTATAACGAATTCAATTGTGGTCGACGTTCGATCCAGGACGAATTCCGTGAAAGTCGTCTAAAATCGGTTGTTGTGCCAGAAAATATCGATGATGCGTGTAAACTGATAAAGCAAAATCGTCATGTGACATACAGGTATCTTCGGGCATTAGTATGACAAGCATCAATAAAATATTACATGAGCCTTTGGCCATAAAATGATTTTTTCGCGTTGGATGCCATATAATCTGACAAAAGCTCAAAAGAAGACTCGTGTCGATTGGCGCAAGGAAATGTTTGAAAAATACTTTCAAGGTGCATCAAAGGCTGTGTATAACATCTACACCAGTGGTGAATCATGGAACTATGCATATGAGCCCGAAACAAAACGGCAGTCGACTGCATGGGTCTTCCAAGACAAGCCAAATCCAACAAAAGTTGTTCGCGGAAGAAGCACATCGAAGGGAACGATTTTCGGTTTTTTCGGCTTTTCCGGTCACGTGGCGACAGTGGCGTTAGAGCAACGCAGGACGGTCAACGACCATTTGTTTGCCAGAACTTATCAGAAAAATTCGAAAACAACAAAAGAGAATCATTCTTCATCAATGTGAGCTCTCACACATCGGATCAAACAAAGGAATTTTTGACGGACCAAGACATCGAATTGATAGGTAATCCGCCGTACAGCCCTGATTTGGCACACAATGACTTTTTTTATTCCCGCACACCAAAAATAAATTACGTGGTCAGCGGTTTGCGACACCCGAAGAAGCGGTTGATGCATTCAAAACGCATGTTGTGGAGTTACCTCAATCGGAATGAGAAAAGTGCTTTGAAAATTGGTTCAAATGCATGCAAAAGTGTATTGATCTTCATGAAGAATATTTTGAAAAACAATAAAAACAATTTCGATCATAACATTTGTTTTTTCATTATTAGGCCAGAAATATAAGTAGCAGCACTAGTAGCAGGCATAATGAAATATTAGAAAGCCATACACAAAATTGGATGTATTTTAATCATTGTAAATCTTTTAAAAATTCGAAGATATTAAAACGCCGTAATTATTATTTCATTCAGTTTTTCTTGATGAAATGTTTTGAAGTAAAATTAAATATGACGCCAGGTTAAGAGCATTATAATATTCCCGCCCCCAAGAACAAAGTTAAAAAGATAATAAAGAGAAATGATGCTTGTAGTACTACTTTTGGACAATAAAGAAAATGCTTCCAAGCTTTAGGCTAACCATTTGCTCGACATTTTGGATATTAAAAAAGAAATTTTCATTCCGATTTTATTTTGAAATACTTCTCTAAGAATATGATGTCTATTTGTATGTACACAAGCACAAGTTTACATGAAAATAAATTTGTGTATTTTAATTTCTCTGTTAACAAGAAATCAATAAATAATTAGTTGAAGGAATAATTACCACCGCTTGAATTTTCGTTTGATGTGCTCTAATATAAGAGCACAGTCTTTTATTAGAAGGGAAACATCAGGCTTCGAGTCATTCTTTAATAAATTTTGCCCTTCATCAAATGAGCTTTTCTTCAAAAATCCATCTGAAATTAGAAACTTAGATTGTATCAGACATTCTTTACTGAAAGGAATGATATTGAAATAATAATAGCGTTAATTTAATAAAATAGGTTTTTCTACGTTTTTGATACGCATCATTTAATTTCTTGTTCTCTTTCAGAACAATGGATTTTGCTGTTTTCCATTCCTGTTGAAAGAGTGTTCTTTCTTCCTCACTTCCATTATAGCCTATAGAAAGAAAGGGATATGTCAGTTGTTATCAATAAACCTGGAGAGGGTATTAAGCATAATTTTGTAGGTAAACATAATGCATTGTAAATTTACACGTTTTTCTAGACCAGGGGTTCTCAAACTGTGGTACGCAAGAGAAAAATAGGTGGTACGCAAAGAAGCAAAGTATTTTAACTATTAAATTCAAAAATTAAAACCCCAACATCCTGATTGAGTTTTTTCTCTAACACTCGTAAATTTATGCAATCTGAGCTTTGTTCAAGAATGAGGGTTGTAGCAGTACTTTGTAGTGGTGATACTAAAGATTTCAATTTTTGTTTAGATGGTACGGAGAACCGCTGTCTAGACTTTAATAGTGTCAAGCAAGGTAAACTCTAATCGCATTATAAAGGGTCTCCTTTTTAAATAGTCTTAGAGAATGCTTTTTCAGCACATTGTAAGAAATAAGACAGATAAGAATAAAAATTATTAAATCAGAAGCGTCATTTCAATAAAGGTTGCTTAAAAAGTTTATATTGTTACGAAGCTTTCCACATGCGATAGCAGAGCTCCCCCCGAAATTTGCTTCCCTTTCTCTTGGCCAGAAAGTACAGAAGGCGGGGTCCCATATTGGCACCGAAATCGCCTTGCGACATTTGGAAACAAAACTGATGATATGTTATAGACGGATGGAGACCTTTCGATACTATTACCTGTTGTGACCCTATGTTCTCTCTGCCCCCAAAGCTATATAAATCTCCTGCCTGCATGCGAGTAGTCATTCAGTCCGTCTTTTCCATTAGAGAGTTGATCGTAGTCTAGTGTCGAGAACTCGTATTGAATCTTGAGCTTTTATCTTAAGTGTGTTTAGCCCGGAACGACCGAACCGAGTCGCAGCTGTAACCCTGGTGCTTGCCGTGAAGCCTGTCTTCACCGTAAGCCTGAGGGCCTGATTTTGTCTGCCATTTTTCACGTATTTGTCGTAGTTTTTTCGACGACTGTAAACGTGTAGCACACGACGTTGCAACTGGTCCGAGGTTGCAAAGTGGTCATAGTTTTTACGTCATCTTTACAGCGTTCGAGCGCAAATATTTGCCGGCAATCTTGGCATTTGGTCGACGCCGCTGAAACTCATGATATGACCGCTTTTAGACGTGGTCGTTTTAAGCATCTTTTCATAGTTCATCAGTCTACTTTTAGAAAGAAAAGAGACTAAATCTGCCCTTTTAAGAATCTGAATCCGCATAAGTTTATTTTGGCAATGTTTATTATTTTATTCTCTAAATATATTAACTAAAGTAGATTCATCTATGAAATATAAATTTAATATAAATACTTGACTTTTAAATTTATTAGTACTAAAATACGTGCTAAATTATAGTTTAAAATTTTGAAAAATAATTAATACTTAATATTTTTTATAAATTTATAGCAAATATTTAAAAATTAGACTAATGTATAAAGAAAGTTGCATTTTATGTTCTATAAGTAGTTGTGCATTTTATATATTTTAAAAAAATGTATTTCCGAAAACAATGCAAATCACATGTTAGCAATTATTTCACTTCTAAAATATGACTTCATTTATTATTTTTGAAGTAATGATGAATTTATTTGAATTAATATGCTGGCATAATGTGAAACATTTTACCGCATACAGAGCAATAAGTACAATTTTCGTGAAGATGTATAGACGGATAAAAATGGAGCGATTTTAAGAATTCCCAGAAAACGCCTAATGTTAAAAGACGATGGATATCCATGCATTTTTAACGTCTGTCCAATATATATGACGGAAAACTCACCGACAGTCAGGAGAAGCAGAACGGAAAAATTAATGGAAAAGGAGAAAGAAATATTAACCATTTTAATGGAAAACGACAAAAATTAAATGACTTTGATAAATTTATAAATGTTGACATCAAATTGGAAACTGTGAACAAAAATATGAAATTCATTACCTATAAAATTTTTGATGAACTGTTTGCTATGCTTTTATGTTTTTCCCGTGCATTCAAAAAAGCTTGGTTTAATCCTAATATTAGAGTACACTCGGGATTTGGTGACATTGACATTAAAAATGTTTTAGAGAGCCCGATAAATATTTTTTTGTAAATTTCGTATTTTTTTATCATTGTTCGTAATTCTATTCAGTTGAAATAATTCTTCTAAGCCATTTAAAAAAGATTCTATTAAACTATCAGAAGAGCCGTCGAAAGGTTTAATGCAATCGAATAAATCGCTGAAACGTTGCACTGAACTGCTGTTCGACATTCCATGTAAATTATTTTCTGGATGATTATATAAACGAACATTTGAGCTCGAGGCTTTGGCTAGCTGCCAAATTCGAACAAGTTAGTAACTGCGCAATAATTTGACTCCATCTTATATTCAAGAATATTTTCTTCATGCTTTTGTAATTCACCGTCGGAATTAAATACTGGAGAGCTTCAATACAAAAAGAGAACGACCTACAAAAATATAATGATGGCAGTTTATTTTGAAGTAAGGAGAAATCATCGTGGTAATACCGAATTCCTGCTTATTTTGTTTGTGAATATCTGATTGCAACATGCTAAAATCGTCCATACAGTTAAATAGTGTTCTGTTTTGGTGTTTTATGACTTACCGGTGATTAAAATTATATTGTGGTTTTACAATTTTCAGTGGCTCCAGCGGTGCAATATTTGGATACACGGATTATCGTTATATTTGGATACACGGATTCGGTTATAACGTCCTAAGTGCTGTATCGTATGTCATTCATATTAATCGATTATTGTGTTCATGATACAGGTTGGTGCTCAGACTTTCGAAAAAATATTGTTAAGGAAACATTAGCATTACTATGAAATATTGTAATCTATAATTATGCCTTACTTAATTGTGTAATATTGAAAAACACTAAATATTTTTTATTGATTGCAAACTGCAGTTTTATTACTTGTCGTTTGGTATCTATTCTTCCAACACCCAGTGTAATTCGCGTTTTTTTATATATTGCAGTTATGTATGTCTATTAAATTATCTCAATAAATGAATGTTGGAAATTAGGTTCTGTTCTTTATTAAATTTAAGTATGTTCATTATACTTAACTAAGTATATTAAGTAAGTCATTTAAGTATATTATATTCATAATTTAAGTATATTCATTAAGTATATTCTTCGCTTACATTTTATGTGTTTGTAATAACAAAGAAATTCATAATAAATAGAAAAAAAAAGTTTCATCGTGTGCTATTTAACGAAAAGCTTACTTTAACGTACCTAGCTTACTATCGTATACTATGTTATTTAAATTATTTCTGTACAGTATCAAAAGCAAAGTTATTGATTATAAAAAGCGCCTGAAATGATCATTGTAATCTACCACTATTCTAAAATGTAGAAACTAAAAATAGGTAAATACATTTACATATGATCGAAAGAAATGGTGTTAAATATCGCATTACTAATAAATACTGCAATCCAAATGATTGCACTTTAATTGCTTAATATTAAAAAACACAAATTTTTTTATTAATTGAAATTTAGTTCTGTTACCTTCCTTCTGCTATTTACTTTCAAACACTACTAGTCATGTTTTTTCTTAAATAGTGCTGTCATGTATATTTTTTGTTAGGTTATTATTTCATTTTAGATATGAATATGGGAAGTTATTAGATTTAGGTATATTTTCGTATGAAATATTTTTTATCACATTTATTAACTACTTTCATTGTATATCTTGGAGATATAGAAGTTAATGGTTATATTTTTTACTGTGAAACGCGAATAAATTTATACTTGAGTTCCGGTAAAATACTGATTATGTTAGCTTAAGAACCGCTTCCTTATTTATCATGACAGGGGCAATTTTCAATGTTTCTGATATTTAACAGAAATAAATGTGATAATGCTGTTATCAGAAACACTATTTTTACCCAGATATATATCTTAACTTTTATTTATATCTAATTGAGTTTTATTTACTTAAAATCTACTATTAATGCTATATATTTATAATAACCACTTTCATAATTACTCTCACTTAAGGAAAAAAGAATGGTGACATCTTAAATAATCTTAACTTAGAATTTTAGTTATTTAAAAATATAGTTTAAAGTACTGAAAATAATTAAAGCTATTATTAATTATGCATATTTAGTCTAAAGAGAAAAAATTGTATTATCTTTTGGTTTTAAGGAATGATAAAATATTTAAACTTTAGATAAATACAAGGAATACAAAATTTAAAAAAAATAAGAAAAATATATTAATTATTAAGTTTATTTTTCTGTATAAATCAATGTGTAACACAAGGACATAACAACGACATTTTCACAACTGTTGGAAAAAGGTGGAATTTTGCTAACATTTAGGCGTCGTTAAGACGTTGTGATACGATGCTTTCACAACCAAAATATCACCTGCGAAAGACGCAATAAACACGTCTGTGCGACAAAAACCTCATCTGCAAAGAAGTAATAAAGACGTCTTAGCAACGGTTGCAAAACAGGGGAGTTTCGCGGACATCTGGGTGTCTTAAAGACGACATATTGCAACGATTTTGCAACGACATCAGCAACGAACGACGTTGCTGTGCTACTTGGGGAACTGTCCTGAATAATTACTGTCTAATAAATTGTGTTTTGATGATTCATCAAAAGTGTCTTCGTGAATCATTCCAAATCCACGAACCCGTGCAAAAATGCAACAATATTTTATTTAAAATAATGTGAAATAAAAAATTAATAGAAGAATAACAATATAAATGAACGTGGATATTTACAGAAATATTATGAAGAGTCAGCAAGTATCATATTCATCTACAGAATGAAATATGTGCCATTTATTATTTACGTTTTTTAATTTCTTTCCTATATGCATTACTTTCTCAGACCAGAAATTTATGCAAACTGTACGGCAGGCAGTGTAGGTTAAAACTGGATTGCAATCGTAAATGCCATTCGAATCTCGGACCGAACTACCAGTGTTCAACGACTTTACCGCTCGGCCGCTGGTGAGCCAGAGAACTTAAACGATAATAATTAAATTAAAAAGGTAGAGATGTAGTGCTAGACTACACAATTAGTTTAATCTAACAGGATGACTCAGAAACCTACGCCGGCGATATACTAACCAGACAGCCAGAATGCGCAACCACTACTAAGATTTACAGCTGTATAACAAAATAGCAAACGTGCGCTTTCACTAGTGAAGTCACACATTGTCTAATTTTTTAGTTTTTAACAGTTTAAATACGACCACCAGCGGCCGAGCGGTAAAGTCGCTGAACACTGGTAGTTCGGTCCAAGGTTCGAATCCCGCGAACGGGCTGACTGCATGGGCGTTTTCGTGGTTTTCCCCATGTGTAACGTGTATACGAGCCAGTTTCCCTTAGAAAGTCCTCCACGAAGGCATCCCTTCCCTTAGGCAGATAGCCTTAGTGTGCTTTGACATAATTAAATACACCACACCACAGTTTAAATACACTCGTTCACCTACTTATTTTGCATCCTGGAGAGGAAATGCAAGTTCAAATAAGGGAATTCAGGAAAGGCTCAAAAATTAAAATAACTGTTAGTAAAACTAAATAGAATACTATAAGTGGATGTCGGTACGTTGTACGTCCGCTTAGTAAAAGAAGCCACTGGCAAAGCAGGTTAGACGGCCGAAGGTTAGTAAGTGTGAGAATATTTCTCGATTTTTTTTTCCACTTCAAACGATGTTTTAACTCTGAATAAATTTTGGAACTGTAATACTTGGTAATTTAAGCTTTGCAGAGAGACGTCGTAACAGATAGTCGACGAGAAGTCGCCTCATTTATTTTTATGTTACTATTAGTTGCACTTCCGCAAGCAGTGGATAATAAAGTACTGCGTTAGATTTTACTTTTGAGTTTCATCTAGTGTATTAATAATAAGCGTCAACAAAGGCAACAGTTCGGTAATATTTAGAGATAAGGTCAGCCGTTAGGTTTGAGAATACGCAGTTCTTAAAGAGAGAAGAAAAACGCGCCAAAGTAAAACATAAAATCAGGCAAAGCAACAAGATAGTGTTTGGTGTAGGTTTTAATTAAGACTCTATCGGTTTCGAAGGCGAACAGGTCCCTATTCATCAGAAGCGAAGAAATCAGCTTCCGAAAATGAAAGAATCCAGTAGACTCGTGGAGTGGCGAAGAAAAGAAAAACATGGCGCAAGTGGGTAAACAAATCAACCTGAAAGAACTTTAATGAATGGGGAAAATGAAGAGGAACCTGTACCTAATCGCCCGCGAAATCGATAGAGTCTTAAATAGAATCTAAGCCAAACACAAGGTTGTTACTTTGCTTAATTTTAAGCAATTCTTAGTTAAACACTTCTAGAAATTATAATTTTGTCATTATGATCGGGCGTTACAATGGTGCTAATATTTTAGTACAGATGAGCACTTTTTCATATTCTCTTCCTTCGTACCTACATTCATCATAATTTAATTTTTATACTCAATTTATTTTGATACGAGAGAAAAGTAAAACACCACCAAAAAGGCCATAGACTCTGCTGTCATTGTCATTTCATCGTGTTGAAAATTATTTACGTAAATACTGCTGAAATCTGCTCAGTTCGTAAAATGGTATTTAATTTTATTTGAACTAGACATACTCATACTGAACTGGTGGAATTTACTCTGATGAATTGCATCTTATTTCCAGACCACATTCTTTAAGAGATCAAATCTGACCTAGCTTAGATAAACAAAAATAGACTAATAAACAGGTTAAATATTAAAAGATTTATCAGAAAGAAAGAGAAGCTGAACAGTCAGATTATGTAAGGGATTCACAAAAATAAAATACTCAGCCACCCAGACGGTATAGTGGTTACTAGAGCCTGACTGCGATACCAAAAGGCCCGCGTTCGAATCCCAGAGAAGGCATGGATGTAAAATTGTCTGTCCCTTCATAGGAGGTAATGGTGGCCGTTTACTAGGTGAGTCTACAATGAAATTGCTACCACTTCTGGCCTTTGTAGTGGCCAATGCCGTTATAGACAGGTGCCCGCCATTTGTAAAAATAATAATAATAAATAATAAATTAGTCTGCTTTTCTCTTCCATAAATTCAGGCTCCGCTATCCAGAAACAAATACATTTTCGCTCTCTGAAATTAGTGTTCTTAGACTGAGAATATAGAAGTACCTTTACCCCAAAAAAGATAAAGAGATAAAAATTAAAATCCTCTAATTTTACCCGAAACACCGAAATTAATGCACACAGTGGTGTACTGCTAATTAGTAACTTCAGCGCCAAAGTATGAAACTCTCTTGTTTGACAGCTTTTTCAAATTAGAAACTGGAATACTGCAATATTTTCAATTGATAAGTATTACTTATTAGTGTGAAAATTAGTATAAAATTTTAAGATTTATGATTATTCGTAATAATTAATGAGTATATAAAATTTTTATAATTATAATATGGTGTGCAAAACTGTTTGGAAATCCTTCTCTGAAGTGAATTCTGATGTGAATGTCCCAGAAAGAGGAACGTTTTACAGATTGGACACATATTTTACTAACGAGTCTAAAAATGTGCAATTATTTTTAAAGAATATAGTGCTTAAAATTATTATTGAACTTAAAATTTTACGTATTATAATTTTTTAATTGTTCAAAAGCTTGTGTTTGGTATTTTCAAAATTATACTTCTCATGTTTTGCTGGTTCAATGCTTTTTCTCTCAAAAAGGCTTCTCTATCGCTCTGCCTTTTTCTTTTTGAAAGGGGGTAATTTGTAAGATAAAAAATATGACAGCAGACTTCTAATTTTACTTGGCTATAACCTCTTTTATTTTTCATTTAATTTGGGAACTTCCTCTCTGTCTTAGAAATAGCGCCATAAATCTAAGTTGCGTCATTAAAATTAATCATGCGATCTTATGTAACGCTTAATGCAGATATCTCTTGCCCAATCAAAGTAATTTGTAAACCAAAACCTTTTTTTTACTCCCTCCCTTCTTCCTCTGAACTACTGCGACACTCTTCCCTTTTTCGCTTGTGCTTTCTTCGTCTCGAGACGCTTTGCTGCAATCCTCTATGTGCTGCAATCATCGCTTATATCATAATAGTATCAAAATTGTTCTGGAAACAGGTACGATTTGAGTGGCAAGTGAATTGTGACCACAAATCTGAATTTAAATAACTATAGAATGTAATCCGGCTCGACTGTTTATTTTTCATCAAAATAGATGGACTCTCTAAGCATCAAGTATCTACGCAATCATCGCGCGAGCACAAGGTTGGTCCCCTTTGTCATTTTCATTCATGCAACTGAAGAAATATATAACTAGTCCCGCAAATTTCGCAACTTAAGCTGATTCCTGTTGTTGTGGTATCTTTAATATTTGTTCGTCGGCGAATTATTTTACTTAATACATCTGTACATGATTTGTTACTCTAAGAAAAACTCAAGTATTTTTTATTTCTAAGGACTTCAGGTGGATTATTAGAAGGAATATCTTAATAAAATATACAAGTTTGTTTTTATGTAATCGGTATCTAAGAAAAATAAATCAGCAGTGGAATAATCCTAAGAAAGTATGCTGTCTAATGCAGCATATGGTGATGATGTACCTGTTTCCATCTGTTGAAAGTGCAGTCAATAGGATGCATTTAATATGTTAAAAATGTTTCTAATGACAGTTATTCATCAAGATACGTACTGTTTCTAACATCATGAAAATTTCATCCTATAAGTTCTCTAAATGCATTATCTAACACACATTCCCTTTCAATTACGCAACTGTAGAAATTTGAATGGGATCCATGATTAATATCACAAATACTCAAAACCCCTGAGCAGCAAGTGAATATCTTGATATTCACTTGCTGCATTAGAAACAAAAGGAGACAAATTACTAACAAAATGAGACACAGAACGGATATTTCTTAGAGGTTCTTAATGATCTAGATTTATTTTTCAAATATATCAAATCCTGCTCGATTTATATTTTACTTCCACACGCATTTTTATCAATCCTAAAAATTTTGCACTTTTTTCATCAGCATAAAGAAGAAGCGTCTGGTTATAATTTAGTAGGCAGCTCAAAATTTGTTTGCCATCACAAATGGCAAAGAGGATCGACAGACACCTTTGGCGAGTTTCCCGAAACCTTTCGGATGGATATCTCAGTCAAGCTGTTCTCACTGAGAAGTGAAATGCAAAAAAATGAAAAAACTTTGGTGATAAACATAGTGAATCCTAGAAACATAAATTTATAAATAAATGTAAATGGTTGGGACTCCTTACTGCTAACAGAGGTATAATCAGACGTGTCGGATGTCTGATTGAAAGAAAATGTATGCCAGGCATGTATCTTCTTATAACGATTTAACAAGGGTGTAAGCAAAACAGGAACAATTATGGAATTGTAACAGCAGAATACTTAACCTCGACTATATATACATAAGAAAAATTAATTGAAACTCACTATATATATCGTAAATGATTTCCGATGTAACTCCATCTAATTCGTGTATTTTATTCGGAATCAGAAAATGAAACGCCAATATCGCTATAATACACAGCAGCAAGCATCTGTAAAAATATAAAGAAAACATGTTTGTTATATATTGTCTGCTACTTTATTGTAATAATTTCTTATTGGAAATAATTAGTATAGAAAAGTAATTTAAGTTTACTATATGAATAAATGCAAAACAGAAAGAGTTTAAATATTTTTTATCTTTAATTTGAAATATTTCAAAATTCTAATAACAGAAAGAAAATCAAACAAAAATTACAACATCCATTAACAACATATATGCAAATATTTTATCAATTTTTTTAAAGTATTGTTAGGCTGTACTGTCGGATATTGCAGAAATAAAAGACAAAATATAACGGCTGTTTGTAAGAACACTCGCTTACAATTTAAACGTTTTTGTTCTGTGGAAGTATAAGAGCAATAAGTGCATTATTCTAATTTTAGTGACGAAATTCTAATCAACTTACAAACAGCTTTTATGCAATGTATTTTAAATGAATTTCTTACTTTCGATATTTATTTTGTCACCTAATCAAATATTTGCCTTCTTATTACCGTTAGAACATAGTGAAATTTCTCTTGCTTCTTGAGTTCTTACTGAAAGTACAGAATTGTGTTTTCCATAAAGCAGTCAAGGAATCTTTGTCAAACACATGCAGAGATGTGCGGCTATCCAACATAATAGTTGCCCAAGCCATTACACCTCTATCTCCGTAATCACCCTTTTCCCTGATGCCCGTATGGATGGCATCGTATTCCAGGCTCTTTCCAGATAGAAGTACGCCAAGACTGAATCTTGACTCATCTGTAAAAAGCACAGCGCATGTTGCTTGAACCATGCTAAACGCAGTCTCTTGTGTGTTGCAGTGAGCGGAACAAAAACAGCGGATCTTCTGGTTTACAGCCCTATCTCACAAAGCCTTCGGGAAACTAGACCGTGAAACTCGGGTTCTAGTGACAGCATGCAGCTCAGAGCTATAAAGCTGTAGCAGTCCTTTGTCAAAGAAAGTCTATGTACATATTCTTTGTCTACAATACATATTCTTTGCCTTTGTTGCCGCGCTGAAAGTGCCAAATAATGATCCTCATTCATCATTGTTGGGGCCCACCAGCGGCCGAGCGGTAAAGACGCTGAACACTGGTAGTTCGGTCCGAGGTTCGAATCCCGCGAACGGGCTGGCTGCATGGGCGTTTTCGTGGTTTTCCCCATGTGTAACGTGTATACGAGCCAGTTTCCCTTAGAAAGTCCTCCACGAAAGGCATCCCTCCCCTTAGGCAGATAGCCCTAGTGCGCTTTGCCATAATTAAATACACACAAATACACACATTCATCATTGTTGATCTCTTTTTTAAATTGTTGATCTTTTTAACATTGTTCAGATCTTCTCGTTATGTATCCATGTCCTAAAACTGTTTCCACAAATTACACACAACACTGAGCGTTACACTTAGCTCTTTAACCACTTGCGCTTGTGATTGGCTTACCTGCAATCTGCCAACGCTTCATCCTGTATATTTGTTGGAATTTACGCCTCATTAGTGGCCGAGTGGTCTAGACCCCTGAATACTGGTTGTTCAACTCGGATTTGAATCCACGTGAATGGGGTGACTGCACGGTTGGTTTTTCTAGTTTTCCCAAGTGTAACATGATTACGAGCCATTTCCATTGGAAAATAATCCTCGAAGGCATCCGTACTCTTTGGCAGTTAACCCTCTTGTGCTTTGCCATATTCATATAACCTAACCTAATAACCTAATCGTAGCTTCACTGCAGACACAATAATCAAAGATCCTTCGTGTTTTTAGAAAAAACAAAAATGCTGACAATTGATTCCAACAATGAATAAGAAATAAAAGTTTCTATCTTATGTGAAATGTTACATGCTTTAAGTGAATGTGGTGATTTTCTAAAAATGAGTTGATAATAAGAATATGAAACCGTAGAAGATCATAAATTTTACATAAATTGTTTAAATAAATATATTTTAAAAGAAATGGCAGTTCAAATTATTCCTGTATTCGTTGCAAGAACGATCATCATAATAAGCTCTAACGGGAAAACGAGAGTCTAAATATCATTCGGCAAAAGAAAAATGAAATCATCAATCACTTGCTGACAGAATGATTCAGTCTGAAAGTGCACAAAATTGCTGCTTTAGGGGATAAAATTAGAACCGTTTGCTCACTTAACTAAATCGGTATGCTTTTATGACTCATCGTTCGCTAACAATAATCTTGATGAATAAAATCGAGAATGAGGAGTGAATCAAGAGCGTTGTGCGAGGATAAAGTGAACTAGGAAAAAATCAAATGAAAAGTGGAGTCGGAAGAATCGATTCAGTCGAACTGCTAACTCTCTAGTAAAGAAACCAAATGAAGCTATCTCTGCATTTTGGATACTATGTCATATGTCAAAGAAAGAAAATTATTCAGTGTTGTTGATCCCGGTGCTTATATTTATCGATGATGCAAACAGAAAATGGATAAAGATTCGATGCATTTTAAATACCAGATTGTATATTAATTTCATGACGAACGAATGCGCAAACATTTTAGGAATAAAAAGAAAACTAATAACAGCATGTTTTCCTGATTTAAATGGGTCAGTCTATAGATAAAAGTAAATAAGTCTGTCTGCAACTTAAAAAACAAAAATAAATAAGTTAGTTATCCATTGCGGAAGGCAGTTTCTGTGAAGACAAAGACATTTTCCCAGTTCCATAGAATGCACATTTCACTCCATTCGACTTATTCCCAAACACCTGCATTACAAGATTTGCTATTCTCAACCAGAAACCATTGAGCGTGTGACGTTACTTGATTCATTAAGCTGGCTTAATCACCTACTACTTCTACCTTCTAATTCACGTATCAGCTGTTATGAAAGCACACCAAAAATTAAAAATAAATTAATAAAAATCTGAAAGGTTTCGGATTTTAAATTACGTCCAAAGGGGCGTTTTTTAACGTCTTGTGTGTTACCTTTATTTATTAAATATCATGTTCTTTGCACTTAAACCATAAAATTCAGTTCAACAGAAATGTCGCAAAATAATTTTAAAATGAGCATATCTTTAAGATTTCCGGATACACAATTCCGCGCGCTAGAGATAAAAAGTTTTTTTTTTCCCGTAGAGTGTTGCCATTGCTCGCTTTTAAATCGTTGAGTTTGTTAATCAAAAATTCGTTAAAAGTTTTACAAAATATAAAATCGATAATAAAACAAATTCCAAATTTCAAATTTGAGCTTTCCAGATGCCCATATTCGCAGTAGGATTACGTCATTCAAAATTGGATGGCTCTAGGTACCGTTGCTTCATCACATTGCGAAAAACATACATACATTTATGCAGATTCTTCATTATTTAATTTCCTCAAATATAATACAAAGCGATAGTATTTGGTGGCAACGATTTGAAAAGTGATACACTGTTTAAAGGGTTCCGACGCAAAATCGCAAAACGAAAACAATAGTTCTTCAAGGACAAAGCCCCTTTGGACTAAAAATAAAAATTGAATCATAAATATTTGTACGTCAGTAGCTCAGCTAACGTATTTGAACATCAAACTTGAATTGAGTAATAAAAATAACAAGGATAATTTTTAAATTAAGGCACAAATTTTCAAACATATTTCTGGAATACATCAAATATATTTTACCTTAATTGAGATGTTATTCACTTTCATCCTTTTTCTCTTCTTTCGAAGAGAAGAACTCTACTTTAAAATATTAATACTTTGCGTTCTTATTATGGTTCCTGCCCTAACAAACAAATGTACTGGTGGCTGAAATTGTTCAGCATACTTCAAACCAATTTGTTTCGAGAAACATTGACTTAATTTTTCTGAGTTCATTTCCATGAAATTTGGTAAAAATTTCTTCCAGTTCACAAAAGATTTTCATCCACACTTCTGTGGAGTGCATAAGGCCTCATTTGCTTACTATTGCTATCCACTTGGGCAGTGCTTTGTTACTGGCACCACCAAATGGAATTAACCGGTCACAAGTATACGTCCTATCAACGGTAACTTAAGTACGTCCTATCAACGGTATATGTGACACTCACCCAGACCTGCCCCGACAAGATAACCCCATTAGTAGCATCGACAGATCCAAAGTTTAATTATTTTCCTTCCTGTCAAGAATAGGGTAAAAAGTTTTAAATTTATGTTCAGTGTACCATGTGACATTGCACAATGCTTGATAGGATCCGGAACTGTGAAACACTGTAGAGATGTTTGCACTTATTATTAATTGCTCGAGTTCTTTTGCATTTCTTTTTCTCGCAGAAAACAGCAATATTCATTTTAAAAATATACGGAGCTGAAAATATTTGTGAGGAAAGAAATTCATAATTCTGGAGATTATCGCATTTTATATTTTGATTTTCACCTAACCCTTTGATGGTGTCGACGAGCACAGCTCGCACTCCAGTTACGCGCCACAGTGAGTGCAAATGAACCAGCTTGTATTACAGATTTACGACTAACAGATATCGCGCATATTTGGGAAGAAAGAAACTGCTTATTCTCGCAATCGCCGAAGGATTAATTTTCCAAGGAAATTTTCAATTATAAATAACTAATTTATTAGGAAATTTTGTAAGAGCTGTATGACCATAAGTGCGACTAATGCTACGAAATTGGTTGAAAAGTTTTTCTAGAATATCCTGATTAAATTTAGAATTCAAAAGATAATTAATTTCATATTTGTTTCTGATGCAGAATTATAAAGCTTTGATTGTTCGGTTTGATTGACAAGATGCTAAATAATAGACTTTGCTAAAAAGATAATATTTAATTTCTCTGTTTATCCATCTTAAAGGAACAGTTTATATATATCACAAGTTTTTCTATGTGGTTTGTATTCAAGCCATTACTATAAATACAGGAATTCATCATGTCAAAGAACTGATCGCTTAAAGTGATGGTTTCTATTATTTTAAATATGATATCCGGAAATAAATAGTTGATAGCATTATCAACGTTCTCAGATAGTAGTTCAACAGCGTGTTTAACGCTGTGCCTCTCAGATAATATAACTTCGATT